GTATACATACACCACATTTTATTAATCCACTAATGCATTGATGGGCACTTGGGTTGGTTGTTTCCACGTCTTTGCAATTGTGAATTGCGCTGCTATAAACATTGGAGTGCAGGTATCTCTTTTATAAAATGTGTTTTTTTTTTCTTTAGGTAAATACCCAGTAGTGGGATTGCTGGATCAAATGAAAAATAAAGGGTTCATGGAGAAGTGGTTTCATAAAGTGAAGAGATACATACATACTATGTATCAAGGTCTTTTCTGAGCTGATCTCTATGTATCATCTCTTCACCTTATGAAATCACTTCTCCATGAACCCTTTGTTTTAGACAAATTATCCCTTTGCACATAGGATGCATGTTTTCACTTTGCACTTTAATTTTTCTAGAAGGCCCCGCTCTTCATCTTTACCTATTTAAGTCTCTATTCTTTTTGTTGTTGTTGTTCAGCCTAATTATAACCCACCTATTCCATGAAGATTTCTATAGTCATCCTAGCCTTCACTGATTATTTCCCACTGAAATGTGTAGCATTTATGCTCTTATTCTTTGGACATTGAGTTGATACTGTGGTTTATGGTCATTTCTACTTTTCCTTTTCTTTTCTTTCCCTCTATAGCATGTCAGCACCTCCACCAAGACAAGTATACAATTAATTCCTTAGGTGTTCACAACTTTTAGTTGGTTCTAAAGAGCTTGGTGAGTTTGGTAGTATGTGTTGAAGGCTGTAAGTGGGCAGACCGACTAATCCTTCCTCCCAATTTTATTTTTCATTGTTCATAGTCTGGTGTAAGTTTGAAGTTAGTTTAGGTCACTTAGAGTAAAAGCTTTGTTAAAGGTTTGTCATATTTTGGAAGGAACTGAAACAGAGAATCAAAAACAAATGATTTATTGAATGAAGATTTAATTTGGTTGTGTTAATTTAATTATCACTTAATTTCATTTCCAGTTTGTAATAAAAATGGGCCATCATTTTTGAAACTTATCCAGTCTTGCTTTTCAAAGAAAGTACTTTTGTTTATTTTTGTTTATAAAGCAACATCTAGAAACTTTGGAAAACAGAAAAGTGTAAATAAAAAATAAAAAATTACCCATATTTTTGCTCCTCAAAACAACTTTATAATATCCACAGAAATGTATTTTAAACAAAATTAATACCATACTTTAGTAATGATAGCTGATATTTACCAAGGGTTAATGATGCATATCTCAGATAGTCTCATAATAACTCTCTAAGTGAAGTATAATTATGTCCTGCTTTACAGATAAGGAAAATGAGGCACAGAAAGGTTAAGTAATTTGCCTAAGTTAACTTAGCCAGTAAACTGAGAGCTGGGATTGAATCTAGGCCTTCCTGCTACACAACCTGCATTCTTTCTTTCTTTATTTTTATTGTGGTAAAAAACACATAACATCAAATTTGCCACTTTTAACCATTTTAAAGTGTATAATTCAGTGGCCTTTAATACATTCTCAAGTTGTGCAATCATCAACACTATCTAGTTCCAGAACATTTCATTACCCTAAAAGGAAATTTTGTATCCATTTCCACCTCCCCTGTAGTCCCTGGCCAATACTAAACTGCTTTCTATTTGTATGAATTTGCCTATTCGGGATATTTCATATAACTGGGATCTTACACTATGTCGGCATTTGTATCTGGCTTTTATTCAGCATGTTTTCAAGGTTCATCAATATTGTAGTATGTATCAGTACTTTAATTCCTTTATATTTCTGAAAAATATTATATTGTATGGATATACATTTTTGATACCACAATCATATATCAAATATTATAGCACATTCATCCATTGATGGACATTTGGGTTGTTTCCACCTTATGGTTATTATGAACAGAACAGTGCTGCTATGAGTGTTCATGTATAAGTTATTTTGTGAACACTTGTTTTCAACTCTCTTGGGTATATACCTATGAGTGAAATTACTGGGTCATCTGGTAATTTTGTGTTTAACTTTTGAGGAATCATCAAACTGTTTTCCACAATGGCTGAACCATTTCACATTCGTACAAGGGTTCCAATTTCTCCACATACTCGCCAACATTTATTTTCCATGTTAAAAAATTATAGCCTACCTAATGGGTGTGAAGTGGTATCTCATCATGGTTTTGATTTGCATTTCATTATAATGACTCATGACTAACGATGTCTAACATCTTTTCATGTGTTTATTGGCCACTTGTGTATCTCCTTTGGAGCAATGTCTATTTAAGTTCATTGCTCCGTTTAAATTTTTTTTATTTGTATTTTGTTTTTGTGTGTTAAGAATTGTTTACATATTTTGGACATAAGACCCTTATCAGATACTGAATATGATTTGCTTATATTGTCTCCCATCCTGTGAATTGTCTTTTTACTTTCTTGATAGTGTACTTTTATCCATAAGAGTATTGAGTTTTGATAAAGTCCAATTTATCTATTTTTTCTTTTGCTGCTCATGCTTTTGGTGTCACAGCTAAGAATCTATTGCCAAATCTAAGGTCATGAAGATTTATCTTTATATTTTCTTCTAAGAGTTTTTTCTCTTATATTTAGGTCTTTCATCCATTTGAGTTAATTTTTGCATTTGGTATGAGGTAGAGGTCCAACTTCAGTTTTTTGCATATGGCTATCTAGTATCCCTAGAACTGTCTTTTGAAGAGACTATTTTGTCCCTATTGAATGGTACTGGCACCCTTGTTGAAAATCAAGATTTATGGGTTTTATTTATGGATTCTCAATTCTGTTATATTTATCTATGTGTTTATCTTTATGCAAGTAACACTATTTTGATTACTGTAGATTTTATTAAGCTTGAGTCCTCCACATTTGTTCCTTTTCAAGGTTACTTTGGGTATTTGGGGCTCTTTTCATTTGCATATGAATTTTAGGACCAGCTTTTCTATTTCTGCAAAAAAATCCAGTGAATTTTGACAGGTTGCATTGAATTTGTAAACAGCTTTGGAGAATTTTGTCATCTTAACAATGTAAGTCTTCTAGTCCATGAACACAGGATGTCTTTCCATTTATTTAGGTCCTCTTTATTTCACCAATATTTTGTAATTTTCATCATAGAAGTCTTTCACCTCCTTGACTAAATTTATTCCTAGGTATTTTATTCTTTTTGCTGCTAATGTAAACGGAGTGTTGCATAAATTTCCTTTTTGGATTGTTAATTGCTAATGTATAGAAAAACCACTGATTTTTTGTTATTAATTTTATATCCTACAACTTTGCTGAAATTATTTTATTAGCTTTAATAGTTTTTTTTGTGTATAGGATATTTTATATATAAGATCATTTCACCTACAAATAGATATTATTTTACTTCTTCCTTTCCAATTTGAATGTCTTAATTCATTTTCTTGCCTAATTGCTCTGGCTATAACTTCTAGTACTTTGTTGAATAGCAGTGGTGAAAATGGACATCCTTGTCTTGTTTCCAATTTCAGTGGGGAAGCTTTCAGATTTTCATCACTGAATATAATATTCACTGTGGGTTTTTATAAGTTCCCTTTATGATATTTAAGAAGTTCCATTCTATTCCTAATTTTCTGAGTGTTTTTTTTTTTTTTATCATAACAGGGTGTTGGATTTTGACAAAAGTTTTTTCTGCATCAATTGAGATAATCATATTTTTTCCCCTATAGCCTGTATTAATAACCAGTAGGCCCTACTACCTCTCTCTCTATGCATTTAATTTTATAGCCTCCTTTTTTCACTTATACCATAAAAATCTGCTTTTCATAAGAGCTATTAAAATTATGATTTCCAGAGGGCTACGTGTTATTTCCTCCTATGAATGTTCCATAATTTACTTAATACCTCTATTATATTTCAAAAGTTTCAATACTTTATCTACATCTCTATTTTCTTAGGAACAAAGTCCCTAGAACTGGAAATATTGGGCTGCAGGCTATGAACATTTTTAAGTTATCATATATACATGATTTCTGACTAATTTTTAAAAATCAGTGTGAACTTCTACCAGCCTGAGATCCATTTAATAAAAGTAGCTGATGTGTTCTGAGCTTGCTGCTCCACAACCCCAGGACCTCTGAGTTAGTTTGCTTTCTAGTCCCCTCTGAAGTTCTTTCATCTTTATTGATACTAAACAGATCACCTGCCTCCCTACTTTTCAATACTTATTATTCTTCTTGTTCCTCAGTCTACTCACTTTCCACACATACACTAATCTTGGTTTTTTGTTCATTTGGTCTTCTGAATTAATGACTAAGCCAATAGAATCAAATGCAGGAAATATTAAAAACCTACCAGTTAAACTATTATTAATAATAAAGCACAAATATACATTATTACTATCTGTATTTATTTAGGTTGGAAAGAAAAGGACATCTGTAATCTAAAAATCGGCTTTGTTTTTAGGTTATAGTGTCTTTTCTTTATCAATATTCATTTATGTGTTCCTGTGTGTACATTTTTAGGATATCTGGAAATACAGGAACATTGCAAAAAATTGAACTCACACATAAAATGAATGTAGAAACATTTAGTTTTAGAGAATACCAAAGAAAAGTATTTAAATGTATATTTATTTTCTCATTTGATTTGATTTTTTAGAAAATCCCTTGTGTTTAAAGGAACTTTCAAATAGGCATCAACTACATAACCCCCTCCTTCATTTAAATACTCTTACAAACACATTTATCATCAGATAAATTTGATTAAAGGCCTGATAAAATTCTAAAAGCAAACAAACCGAAAAAATCCCAAAGGGAGAATAAATATAGATGAAGACACTTATTAGATAAATGAAGACACTGATTAGGACACTTAACGAGTCGCCGCTGGTTTAGCTCGCCCAGGAGCTGCAGAAGCAAAACTACGATTCCCAGAGTACTTAGAGCGAACACGTAAATCACAGTATCCGAACCGGTGGCTTTAGTCCCGCCTCATCATTCCAGTGATTGGATGGTCCACTTCCGCGCCTCTGGACTTCTCTCCACCCATTGGTGCAAACCCCATCGGGGTCAAATATAGAGTTTACGTTCGCTTTGCTGCTTTCGAACCTACCGCCTCTCCCTGCGTACCAAGATGGCGGCAGAAGCAGCCGGTGGGAAATACAGAAGCACAGTCAGCAAAAGCAAAGACCCCTCGGGGCTGCTCATCTCTGTGATCAGGTGAGGGAGGCAGGAGGCAGGGTCAGGGGTCAGGGGGCAGCGGCTTGACTACCGCTTTGGAAAGGAGAAGGGTTAGCTGGGTTCCGCCCTGCCGACCCTCTCCTTCGCTCCCTGCCTCCCCCAGCCCCTCTCCCGGGTCCCAGCCCATCCCAGGGTCTCAGCAGTTCCCCCTTTTTCTCTGGGGTTGGACCTAGAGGGAGGAGCCACGCCTCGCAGTCATTTTTTTCGGGGCAGAGCCCTCTATTAGGGTCCCCGGGCCCTAGAAGCACGCTGATTGGGTTTGATAGAGAAAGCCAGGTGAAGGTGTGTTCATTGGTTCACAAAATGTTTGTTTATTGCTTGCCTGTAGCATCGCTTACTGTGCAAAGCGGTCTTGTTTCCTGGACTTCTGGGTTTAAGGCCCTGAAGTCCGGAGAATACTGTCACGAGTTGCAGATTGTGTTTTCACACGCTGGACACTTTAAACCACCTGTGAATGGCCACAGCCTCAAATACAAGAATCAGCAGTGAGCTGGTAGAAGGACTCGTGGGTTTGAAGGCACACATCTGTTTTCGTTTTTTTCTGCCTTTTCCTGTCTTCCTATTCTGTATCCATTAAAAACAAAACAAAACAATTTTCAAGTTATCCTCCATGAACTTTATTTCTCCATGATATTAGGGTGGGAAAGGGAGTGATGGACTTTTTAGGACCTTTTAATTTTTTTAAGAAATAAATTGAGGATGGGGGATCCGATCAAGTACCATTAAGGATGATACAGGGAATGATCAAAAACAACCTGAATAAAATGTGTTATGACACGTTGTTACGTTGTTCGCATTTGAATTTCAACTCAGGTGTTTTTCATAAAACAAACGGCTCTACCATCCCTTCTGCACTGCCTCCGCATTTCCGTTTTCCCTACCTGCGCTAAACTTTTGTTTGAGTTCTTAGGTCCTAGAATGTCCTGATTTTTTAAAACCCAGGGCTCACCTTATCTGGTAGATACTACGCAAGTGAATGAAAAATATAGCAAACCTTTAAAATGGCTTAACACTCACTAACCAATAAAGACCCATATTGTGGGTATTATTTAGGGGACTCTACTTTAAGATTATGGCCTGTTAAATCATTATTATCAATTTTCTTTTAGGATTAAGAGAATAATTCTTCTTTTTATGGAATTGCTTAATATACTTGGTAGGCCATACAGAGGAAATGCTGTTCTTTTGTGAAACTATAGGCCCACATTCTTGACATGACTATGTACAGGTAGTGTAGATGAATCTCATAATACTAAAACTCCAACTAGAACACTTACGGTTTCCCATCTGAATCCTCTGTGGAATAATAATACCTGTATGTGAATTTATTTGGATCCTTTTTTGAACTTGTTTATTTTTTCTGCTTTATAGTCAACATTCATTTAAACAGTGGGTATCAAGTGCCAGTTTATAGCATGGTGTCTGGCACTTATTATATACTTAATAAATATTTGTTGAATGAATGAATGCCCTGAATTTTGCAAAGATGAACGGGACTTGATGTTACCCTTGAGGAGAGTATAGTTTATCTGGGGATTAAAAATGATGATGTGAGACTGGAAGAGAGAGATGAAATGGTAGGGAATTCCAGGAGAACAACTGGTTACTTCCAGTGGGATTAGAGGAGGTAGCAGCAGTATGCAAACGTACCATCTCATCTGTGTACTTTTGATTCTGTAGGCATTTCCCATTTCATTTATACTATTTATGTTTTCTTCAGTGCTGGTTAAATTTATTCTAAATGTCATATATTTGAGAAGAGCATGAAAATCAACCTAAAGCTTTTTTACTGATGCTGATTCGGAAACATACATTGCCTTTGGTTGACCATCCCTTTGTGATCTTCAGGGGGAATCCCTTACTGCTGGGCGGTGTGCAATATGATTTTGTGGTTATCCATCCATCTCCTGTGCCATTTTGCATTACCTCTAGCACCATGATTTAGGCCTAGGTATTTTTACTTTGTTGTGCATTACTGCTTTTCATGTTTCTTCCTTATCCTTGATCACCTTAGACCACTGAGTAACACTTTTATTATATTTGTTAAAAGCATGGTATAAGTGAGTGTGCAGGCCTAGCATCCTCGGCAAATTTATTAAAGGTTTGGATTCATGGTTATTTACAAACTTAAGACTGGATGATGTTGCTATAGTGTTGGTGTTTGCATTTCAGCATTTCTCTGAGTCACGGGAATATTTTGGAGTTAGAGTGAGGATGTTACTAACTCTATCTCTTTGTTGTTTCTTTCCTGATATGCTTTTCAACATACTCAGTGGTTGAAATTTTACAAACAGTGGCAGTGAATGAGAGGAGAATGGTAGTATTACTTTGGTGTTTGGGAATGGAGAAGAGCCGAGGGTGCTGCAGGGAAGAATAGAATGGGGAATGTATATTTCATTTAAGTAAATTGTGCTGTTACTCCGAAGTTGCTGCTTTGTATCTCTGTTCAATCTGTTTTCTTTTCAGTTATCCTTCTTGCAACATTGTATTTATTATTGTTAATTCCTCATACAAAACTTTGATTACCTTCTCTTTAACCATTTTGCAAATTATTTCTCAAAGATTATATCTTTCCTGGTTGTTTTGGCAATAAGCCTCAAAAAGAAAACCCATTTTAGGTTCCTGTTTATAAAATCTGAGCATTCTTGAGATGTACTTGGTATGTGCCAGTTCTTTCACGTTTCCATAGACCTATCATTTTGTCATTTTGTCAAAATAAATTACTTACTAGTGATAGAGTGCTCTTTTGAAAAGTTTGATCGGTTTAGCTTTATCTTTTTATATCTCAGAGCAGTTGTTTTTTGAATAGTGAATGTTAAAAATTCTCCTTTAATTCTCTCACTCAGATATGTAAAATTGTCATTTCTACACTAAATTATGTATTATCATAATACTTTGTATTATTTTAATGCTACTCCTAATAGTTGGAACAGCCTTTATTGTTAGTCATCTTTTAATACTGGATTAAAAAATTACAGATGAATAAAGGTTTGACTTAAGGACAAAGTAGGTGTAGACGTGGGAAATATCCAAATCTCATATTGTTTTCAGCCATTGTACTAAATACCTAAATAATGACTACATTTTGCTTGTAAGATAGCCTATCACTTTAAAGTATTTAAAAGCCAAAATAATTTAAAAATGAAATACAATGTAATTGTGATACACGTATGATATTTGGTAGATATTTTTTAAGCACCTTGAGACTTATAAATAAAATTTCTTAATCATTTAAAAAATATTGAATAAAAATATTTCAGGACAGTCAGATATTTCAAAGAGTAGTCTTCTGGGGTTTTACAGAAAAGGTCCTCAGGCCTGTGAGGTAGGGCTTTGATGAGAGAACAGATGGTACTTGGGAGTTAAACTGTTGGAGGTTGCCGCTGACAGCAGCTTTTGGTTTTAAGTCTTGGCACTGGCCCTTTAAAACAGAAACTAATTGGATGGACAGATTCCTGATTACCTGCTGATGTACGGTGGACAGTTGTACACACACACAGAACATTTTCCTACTTTTGTATTGATTTTCCCCCCTAACCTTTTGTTTTGTGTGAAGTTGGAGGAGGTAGCCTCTCTACTTAGGAAATAAGCAAGATGGCATTTTGGAGATGCTATTTTATTTTTCCGTGAGTTCCTGTCAGATTTTTAATTGGGAAATGTGTCTACCTCTTACTGCTAGGTGATTTGCTTTCCAATTAAGTGTTGTCTCTCTTTTCTTTATAAGTTGGCTTGTAATAGCCTGTTTAATTGGGAAGACAAACTTTGGTTGCGACTTAAGGAGACCTTATTGAAACCTTGGAGCAGAGTTTTTGAAGACAGGCTCTGGTTACAGATGTCAAGGTTTGAAGGCAGTGGAAGGCTCACTTTTTCATCAACTTTTATGTCTTCACAGAAGTTGGAATTTCAAATACTTAAAAAAAATCCTTTCTTCTAGATACCTGTTAAATTTCCTTCCTCCTCAGAGAGTATTTTGGTCATCCCTTTATTTAATTCAAAGTAAACTTTGTTGAAGGGGTCCAGGCTTTGATCAGGGCTTTGAACAAACAGCTTTGAGCTTCATGACACAGTTTGTGGCAGGAAAGGAAGTGGTCACTGTGTTCCGAGCCAAGTCCTGGAAGATGTATTAGGTGTTACTGTTGTTTCCAGCACCGTCTCCTGTCTTCATTGAGCCCATCTCAATGGTTTTTAGATTGCTAGCTCTCTTTGTGCATTGGGGAGTCTTGGCCTTAGCAATGCAATGTTGTTTGAAAGTAGCTGCTACAATACCTGGAGACTAAATACTTTATTAATTTTCAGGAAGTCCTGGGACATCTGACAGTATATGTGGGTGTAAAGGGCAAAAAATTCCCATTTTCTAGCTAAATGTGCAGAATTAATATCTTAGGGACCCGTGTTTTAGTTTGACATCATGTGTAATTTTTTTTTTTTTTTTCCGAGACAGGATCTTGCTATGTCATCCAGACTGGAAATGCAGTGGTATGATCATAGCTTACTGTAACCTTGAACTCCTGGGCTCAAACGATCCTCCTACCTCAGACTCCCAAGTAGCTGGGACTATAGGCACGAGCCACCATGCCCAGCTAAATTAAAAAATTTTTTTTTTGTAGAGATGGGGGTCTCGTTATGTTGCCCAGGCTAGTCTTGAACTGTTGGCCTCAGGTGATCATTCTGCTTGGCCTCCCAAAATGCTAGGATTACAAGTGTGAGCCATCACTGCTGGGTCATTTGTAATTGTAATATTGGAATTTCATGAAGGCTTTGAGGCATATAGTTTTAATGGTGAGTGTTATGGTCAGTTTTTTCCCAAGTCATTACTTTGAGGTGGAAGGTACAGTATGTGATTTGGTGTAGTTAAGTAGAAACTTACTGTATTACCCATGCAACCTTGGACTAGTTACTTAAAACCATTGTGTCTTAGTTTTTTGTTTGTAAAATGGGATAATAGTACAATATGCTTTGGGTTTTTTTAAACATTAAAT